AATATCCTTAAGTACTTCAAGTGTCCAGAAACGTGCTGATCCACGCACTATTGCAAATCGTGCTTGAAGCACTCTAAATGCTCGCTCAACATCCTTTCTTGCTGACTCTTGAGATTTTGTAAAATGTATTTTCTTATTGCCTCTTAGAAATGAAATTGTTTGGACAAGTGTTGACCATTTTGGATATATACCATCAACAAGGTAATATCATATTGTATAATCATTTCTATTGATTGAGAAATTGACTAGAGGAGCCCAACCTTCTAAAAGAAGAGTAAAAACAGAAAACCATTCTAGTACGTTGATATTATTATGAGATCCAGATAACCCAAAAAAGACATGTCAAATTCAAAGATCATATGAAGTCACCGCCTCCAAAATAATTGTTGTTTCATGGACGTGACCAGAATACATATTTTTCCATGCTGTTGGACAATTCTTTCATTTTCAATGCATACAATTAATGCTACCCAACATCCCAAGAAACCCACAATTGGTACTCATTACTAATAATCTAGCAATGTCATCGTTGTTTGGTGACCTGAGATATTCATCGAAAAAAATTGCTACTACCGCCCTCACAAATCTTTTCAAACTTTCTATTACTGTGCTTTTGCGAATCCTCTCATAATCATCAATAGCATCTGTTGCAACTCCATAAGTAAACATCCTTATGGCGACTGTCATCTTTTGAAGGGAAGACAAGCCAGTAATTCTAGCAACATTTTTTTTGGGATAAAATATAGATCATAATCTTCCACCATGAATAGAATACGAAGAAAAGGGGCTCGATTAATTCAAAACCTTCTTCGAAATAAATTTGGGGGATAGATAGGCAGTTCAGCAAAATAATCCCGATACAGTCTTTTGTGCCCTTGAACTCGATTGCGAAAAATAACTGAATGACCTTAAATTGAACCACGACGTACACTAGAATTTTCCTCGCTATTGAGTTTGTTCATTTTTATAGCACAAATTATTACCATCTCCAATTCATCTTCGGAGTCAGAATTGTTAATAACAATATTCATTATAGAATGACGAACTATAACATAAAAACAAATAAGAGTGCAACACCAATAAATAGATTTGAGGTGTATGACAATGAGGGATGGAAGAACCTATTTATACATATCCAAAAATATGACCGTTGTAAATATGACCGTTATGACCATTACAAATATGATTGTTATTAATATGATTGTTGAAAAATTCAAATTTTAAAATTTTGAATTTTGTGACCGTTATAAATATGATTGTTATTAATAAAACTTAAAATTTTAAAATTTTGATGATGTAGCGTAACACGTGAGCATATGATGTCATTAATATGGTGATGACATGACATACTACATAGTATTTAAATTTTAATAATTAATAGTTATTTAAAGTTAGTTGAAGTGGTTAGTTAAAATAGATAGCGTTGTTATAGTGAATTTAAAAAAGTGATTAACTATTAGATAATATAATATTTAAATAAATTTTGAATAATTATTTTAAATAACATTGTTGGAGATGCTCTTGAGGCGTTAATGCCGCTGGACCTCCTTTGGTCAATATAAACCTCTTCACAGATCTGCAATACTTTCCATACTTTCTGTTTGACTATTTATTTCTCCTCTTCCAGGGGGAAAAGATGTTGAAAATGATCGCTATTCTTCCAAAGCCCTTTTTCCTTTGGCCTTAGGTTTCCTTTCCCTCTACTTCTTTCTTTAGTATCCATAGTTTGGCTGACCACATTTTCTCATATTCCTCCTAAGGATGGATGCCTTTTTGCATGTGCCTCCCTTGGGCTACAATGGATGTCTCGAAGGTTACGTTGGAGGCACTAGGAGCCACTCTGCTGCATGATCCGGAGAAACCCAAGGTGCATTGAGGACTCCCTTACTCGGTCCATGCAGCTACTGATATCTATTATGATGAGGAAAGTGATACATTTTTCATCATACTTCTTTTTTGCAATTTCCGCTTGGACCGTGAGGGACGGAGACGGTGGTATTTACCACACCCCAGTTCTTTGCTCCAATAGTCATGACATCCGAAAGGCTACCGACGTATAATGTTCATGGTGTTCCTATGTCGACGGAAATATGCAATTGAGATATCAATGTAGTTTTAACATTTGAATTAAATATTCCTCAAAGTTGATTCCGAAAGTAACGAGGCGACAAGCTGACTCAATATCTAATTTTAAACTAGGCTTAACTGGTTGTACACTTCTTGTCACATTTATGTTCTACTGCATCTATCTTACCAACTGCTGCAATTGACTATTTTTGTTTGCAAATTTGATGGGCTTTTTGTCCATTCTAACTATTCTTTGTCTTTTTTATTTTAGCCGGCCAGAACTAGGTTGGCACAAACAGTAAAACTTCTCCATTATGAGTCAATAGAGTCAGGTTCAAGTTATGACAATAGGCTCACTGTATACATTTGATTCTCGTGAGGCTTGTACTTGTGAGAGTTTCGTACACCAAATTGCCTCTTTTATCCAAAACTAGAAGCCCATGAACATGATGCTACCTCCCACATAGGAAGATAGTGGTGGTTTACTTCTTGTTACAACTTTGTTCTATAGCATCCATCTTACCTACAACCATGTTCTCTATTATGAATCAAAATTATCGTAGGTTCAAGGCATGAAAATAAACTTACTGAATATAAAGATAAAATTACATACATTTGATCATTCTTAAACTCATATAAGGTGTTAAGAATGACATTAATTTTATATTCATTGCAAACTATAAAACCATAGGATATTTATGGTCACCGTTACTAAATAGCCCGAGTGGCGAGCTTGTGTGGTTTTTTAACTTTAAAATAAAAATTTTAAATTATGATTAAATATAGTTCACGTACAATATACGTGAGCAACAAATAGTATATAAGAAAACATAAACATTCAAAATCAGATTTTGTAATAATCCCAACGTACAAGTAATACATTTAACAAGTCACCAGGCTGAGTATAGCCAAAATGGCTTCTGAGCAAATTTGCCAAGTTTTCTTTTTTCTAGAATGGTTGGCATGTTGATTAAATTAGCCCACTTGTCATTTAAATTTAGGGTTAGAGAGAATTTGGTGGTAAGATGATAACAGGACGAGAATATAAATTTCGTGTATCACACGAGATATACATTAGTATACATTATATATATAAACCACACACTAATTCTTTGCATTTAAACACTTGTACATAACCCTCTATGCTTTTGAACTAAATTAGAAACGTAAAAGGTTTAATTAAAACTAACAATCAAATGTCAAAAAACAATATTCTTAATTAACTATATAACACGTTAAAAGATTTTCACGCCCTTGCTCCCTATTTTATTTGTACGTTTCAACTCTCTAAAATAAATCAATCTCTCTCTCGCCATCTTTCCATTCTATGCATCTGATATGTATCTTGCTTGCATCACATTTTTAGGAAGAAATTATAAAAAAATAAAATAGAATTTTGAATTTTGGAATTTAATTTGAAAATTTAATACATTTTGACTATTGGATGAGAGGTGAGTGCTAGCATGCATGGAACAAAATTAACTATCAATTGAATAGTTGGTTAATTCTCATGACATAAAAAGTGTTATCAAAGCCAGTCAAACCAAGTTCAATTGATATTGGGATCGCTTTTACAACAACCAACAACCAGCCAGGACTCGGATGACCTAGCCAATTGAACCAGTGGTCCACTGGTTTGATCAAGTGGCCCAATTGACATCGTGAACAAATTAAAATTAAATATTTAAAGGTTAGATTTTGAAATTTGTTTTGGATGCATTATAAACTTTTTTAAAATTTTATGTTATGCACTTAACGTGCAATATGTTATTGATATAACTTGAATCATTTGTAACATAATAATTATTATTTGAAAAGATAATTTATTTTTTATAGGACCATTTTCAACTGCTGTCACAATAGTAAAACTAGTCATTCATTGGCTTAGTCTTTTTTGTTATGTTGATATTGGTTTAAGTTTCATAACTACAATTTACATTCAAGATTAAACTGACTTGAACTCAATACGGCAAGTATCGAATACATGACACAGTCCACAAATATTAGTTTGACAACATAAATTTGACGATTTCATAACATAAAAAAAAAAAAAAAAAGAAAAGGGAAACTCATCAAAAGAAATTCATCCTAACACAGTCCAAAAACATATCTAGCGAACAAGATATATAATTATGTTAATCAAATGCAAAGCACAACTATTTTCTTCTATCTCCAAATTTGAAAATCCCCATAGACCGTCAATTTGCCGCCATATACTCAACCGAATAACCGCCTCTCTCTCTCTCTCCACCAATGGACCTGCAAGGCTGCAACTCCGACCATCTCCAGCGGCCTTGTTCATTCTCATCAGCCTCTCACTCCTCACCACCACGAACTTTTCTTAGTTCAATCGGGATTTCCATTTCCCTCAATGACAATGAGCCTAGTTAGCATAGTTGAATTAGACTTCGCCAGACCGATCACTTTCTGGTGAAGATGTTGGTATACCAGGGACTCTAATAGGTAAATCAAGATCTTGATGAGTTGACAATTGTTCTTGCAATTAGGGATGATGCATGTTCCATTTGGTATTTTGGTATATACTAAAAGGCCTCATTTTGATCAGACATGATTCGTGTCATCATTAATTTCTCCGTTTTTTGTTGTTATTTTGAATTCCATATATTTATTTAATACCCATTGAATTCAAATTTAGTCTTAGCATAAAAAAAAAAAAAAAAAAAAGAAAAATGGAACAAGAATTGAACAACTGGAAGGATTATGATGATTAGATCGTGGAAATGATCCAATACTTTGGTTCTAGTGTAGAACACCATACATTGGTTATAAAGCCTCTTGAAAACAACAAACTCCAAATTATCAAACACAATATACTTTTAAGAGCAGTGGTAATTGGTAAAACTGAAAACATATGAACTCTATAGAGATCAAAGACTACAGTCAATTATTAGGATATTATTATGAAACTCAATTTACGGAACAACAGTGGTGGGGATGGTGGCATTGGGTTCGACAGTGTGTGGTGGTGATGGTGGCGTAGTGGCAGAACCAGAGTCGGAAGCATCACAATAGCCACGGAGGATGTCACCCTCTTTGGAGGTGAAGCCGAGAGAGCCAAGCATGGAGGGCCAACAATCATGTTCGATTGTTCGGATGGCACTGCAGCAGCCGGGGCCTAGATAGGTCTCGCCATTCATGAAGAATAGGAGGACCTCACCTGTGCAGGATTGGAGCTGGAAGAGAGACTCCCAACAGTTCGACGAGCTCTCTTCACCATCGAGTTTTAGTCGAGCCATGAGGGTTGTTTTGGAGCTCAGTGGTCGTGCCATGGCCGTATATGCCATGAAACATGCAAGCAAAGCTGTGAGAATTATTAGCCTGGAAGAGTAAGCCATAGGTTTTTGTGTGTAGTAGAGAGGGAATATATGAATTGTGGAGCTGAGCAAGGTGTTTGATTTATATAGAGGGGAGTTTCGGAACGTTATTATCACAGGAAGGTCAAGGGACAATGGAATTCAAGTGCAAAAGCAAGATGCTGGGAAGTTTTCCTGCTGAATTGTAAAGATGTCAGATGAAGAGTTGACGACACTTAATGCTATAATCAACCCATTTTTATGATGAGGAATTTACAACATAATGGTTCCTAGATCTCACCGATCATGAGTTTTTTGCTAATTTAGATATCTAGAGGAATTTAGGTTTAAAATGTTGTTCCGCGAAAAATATCCGTTTATTAAAAATGATAATTGACATGAAGTCTTATCTCCAGTTTTGAAGAGACTAATGTCATGATATACTAATCTCGGGAAACTCTTTGTTTAGTGAATGAGTGCAAACATTTTGATGCGTTGGTAAAGAAATGTATTAGTCCAATAATGGCGGCGATTGATTTGTGATGCAAGTTTGCTAGATTGCTGTGGGAAGAGCACTTAAGGATGTGGGTCAATTGTCTGAGAATTGTTTTAAAAAATGAAATGAATCAATGGTAGTTAGGCATTGTTTGAGATAACTTATTGAATTTTAAAGTATTTTTTAAATAATTATTTAAAAAAAAATACTTTCTTGTATAAGCATTGTTTGGATACTCATTAAAAAAGTATTTAAATAAAAATAATTTTATAAAAATTGTGTTTGGATGGTCAATTAAAAAAGTATTTATTTGTATTACAATTACAAATATGTCTTTTATAATCAAATATATATGTGTGTGTTTGCATGTATTTGGTTAAAAACGTCAATGGTTATTCTATGATATATTTTTAGTGATAATTTATCAAATATTTACATAAATTCACAAAAAAAAAAAGGTGACTATGGGATACCAGTGATCTAAAGACATAATAAACCCAAGTGTAAGCTTGGAGTTCACTAATATGGATTTCTTCATCACCTATGTGTAAGCTTCTACTCTTTGATGCAAATATTTTTTTTTGTCAAACAAATCAACACTTTATTTTATTACTTTAAAAATTATTTATAATAGAATAAAAGGCAAACAGATCATGCCTTAACAAAACTTTAACCAAAAATGAATAAAAGAAGCCAAAAGATTTTACAAAAGAATCAAAAAATAAGTTTCTCATAACAGATGGTCTGCTCGACTAGTGTTATCGACTAATGTTAACGAGACTGACCAATGAATATGATATTCAAAAACAAACAACACAAGACGTTAACGAGACTGACCAAAGAACATGAAACACATAAATATCCACGAACAAAATAAATTCAAGAAAAATAATAATAAGATTAAATTCATTTGCCCTGCTAGGATATAAGAGCCTAAGGGCATGGTTGGTTCATGTGGAATCAAGTTATTTCTGGAATCCATTTCTCTCCTGAAACCAAAATAGCAAGAGTTTCTTCCACAAAAGCTAAACTTGTTCCGGAGCCGCCGGTCCCCCCCCCCCCCCTTTTTTTTTAAAAGAGAAATTGTATTTATTCACAAAACCACAATGACAAGAAGCAAAAAAAAGGCCAAAAGTACCTTTTCATAACATAAACTACCAAACAAATGCAACAAAAATTAACACTAAAACAGCAAGTCCAAAGACAAGGCCTTCAAACACTCCTCGCATCTTCACAGCACTGAACTTCATCCCATTTCAAACAAATCAGTCATACAAAATCACCAAAACCTTCAACACTTAACCCTTGTCATCAAACACCATTACTGTCTTTTTATGCAACACAAGCAAACCTCGCTGATCATAACACAAGGCTAAGCCAACTCCCAATGTAACCTCAAATCAACAGAAAAGTCCACAAATCTCCTGTTCTGAACAGCATATTCAGTCAGCCTGTCAGCAATATAATTCACTTCTATATAAACATGCACCAGGAAAATTCCAGACTTCTCAAAATACCTTTAACCTGCCTCAATATATCCAGACAGGACCAAGGGCATTCACAACATCTCAAAACATAATTTACCAGAATCAAAGAATCGCATTCTACTTCAAGAGTATAACAAGACAAGCCATAATACATAGAAGAAAGTGGAACTCTCCGGTGTTGTCGAAATGATAGAAGAAAGTGTGGTCAAAGGCAGTCGGAAGTCAATAATGACTACATGTCAACACAATACAAGAGCAGTGACAGAGAGATTGAGAGATATCGGAGCAGCAGAGATCGAGAGAGATTAAGAGATATCGAGGGTGGGGAGAGGTAAGTGTTTTAATTAAAAAAAAATAAAAGTTAATTCTCATGCCTTTGGACAAGTAATTAATTCTTATAAGTACTTACTTTTAAACTTATCTATCAAATTTAGTCATTTTTAAGAAACATCATTTAAATGATGCATGTGTCAGTTTTTAAACAAAAATTAAAGTTAGAAAATGTCATTTAAAATGACACTTTAAATAACGTCAGTCTCACTGGCGCTTTGATTGCATATATACTAGGTTCAGCAAGTTATCACGTTCTTGCAAATGACATTTTCTGCGTTTACAATCAGATTCTTACACTTCATTTCTCAAATCAACCAGATGCTCCTCACCTCCTTTTCTAAGGAGGACGACGATGACCATGACTCTAGGCTCTCTTTCCTTCTTCTCCAAACGCCTTTGCCATTCTCGATCGATCTCTGTTTCCCCCACTCTCTCACTCTTTCTTTGCTACTCTCCATCTCTGTCGATGTTCTTCCTTTTATTTAGGCGAGGATGATGATGAAGAGCCCCAGTCCGTCTGACCCATATGTAGCACTTGTCTCTTCACTTGCTCTCTTGACCTGTATATAGCTATTATTAAAATTTTAAAAGATTTGTTACTTGTTTTCAACCCTGAATTTTATACTTTACTGATTCAATTGACGATAATTTCGAAAAATTAATATTTTCTTGTAAATTTTTGTGTACGTAGTAAACCGTTACATTACTATGAACATGATCCACACTAATGAATTTAAACTATACGAGGTCTCCATCATTTCGAAAAACCAATTTTATTATAATGCCTTTAAGTTCTGCTCACATTAGTTTTAGATCTCAGTATTTAGATTACATTTTCTGGCAAGGGTTGAGGTGTATATTTATATAGATACCAGCAAGAAGGTGCAATCAGTGTGTGTGTGTGTGTGTCAGAGAGAGAGAGAGAGAGAGGGTATTTAGGTGGTGACCGGTTGTTGTTGGTATGCAGAAACGCGACCTCTTCAAACACAACTCGATCTATGCATGGCTTGCAAAATGTAGATCAGTCTCAGCAATGATATGAAGTGACTTAAAAATTTATTTTATGGATAATTATATTTTAAATCCATACACCACGACCGTCATCATAGTTTTTCTCCTCTATTATTGAACTTTATTTTGCCCCCTAAACCACTTGATTGGTTTCATATTACCCCTAAATGAAACGGACATTTGTTTTTGGACAAAATATTCACATGACATCAGATTTTTGGCAATTGCCCGTTCAAAATTTTTAATTTAGGGTGACACAAATCTCTGTAACGGCCCAATGGCTGCAATTGCGGGAATATTAAATCAATAACACAAATTATGATAGTTTATGAGATAACATGGAGGGAATAATTAAATCTGACAAAACCCTACTCATCCTTACGAGGACACTCATACTCACCATAGCCGGAGGAAATTGTAGGCAACTTTCCACAATCATTTTTGAAACATCGAATACCCTGTGGGAAAGAAGCCTATAGAAAATCACATCCTTAATGAAGTTCATCCACCACCAGAACCACCTTGTTGCATCCACCCCACCAGAAAAGACCCTGTAATCAACCAAGCAGAATGCCACCTCCTTTCCTTAACTTACCTTTCTATGACGGTGGCCGCCTCCTTCGGCACAAGCCTCCCGTCTCGGATCACCGTTTCTCCAATGTGCCGGCCGAGGATGACGGCGTCTTCTTGAGCTGAACAACCTGCTTGGCCTAGATCAGGTGTCATAGGGAACAACTGTAATGGTCCCCTTGCGGACATTTCCAAATATTATATCCCAAAGAAACCTCAACATAAGTGGGCCCCACGTTAATGAGGAGAGGATTGAATGGTTGACAACGTCCAAGAATATTGGATGGAAGTCCTTGACAAAGTTTTCAAAGACTTCTCGTTGTATGAATTCTTGGTTACCTGCCAAGTCTTCAGCTGAAATATAGATCAAATTACAATATTAAACCTTCAATCTCGTATTAAACCTTCAAATTTGCTCCGACCATCGACCATCGACCCACCATTGAGTGCAACCCATCACATCTGCAATTACCATTAAATTTTAAACAAAGCTTTGCTTGACGGTATACTACATACACTTTGTTAGAATTACACCAAGCAGACCTATTATCTATCATATCAGTCAGATTTAGATTCTCTCCATTACACTTTCCCTTAACTTTACTCATTTTGATAGATCATTGGTCGTGTCTATATGAGAGACCCACTAGTAAATGGTGGATCCCATACATATTAATGGTAGATGATTTATCATTGAATCTCCCCCAAACCTCCCATCAACACCCTTCCTAACCACACCCCGCCATATACCATCCCCCCTTCACCATCGTGCACTTATCTTCCCACCAACTATGCATTCATGGGCCTTGAGATGACCCAAGCTAATGTTAATTTCAATTACCTTTGTTTTGATGGCAGTTCCATCTTCCAAATGGAGAACAGCTATGGAATAGCCTTCTTGTTTTTGTACTTCGATGGAGTTTAGTTTTGAAGAGAAACGGATTGTGTTGTTTGGAAGTTCTTGGGCCCGAGCTTCACGCAAGGCCTTACGGTGCACTATCTTAGGCCCAGCTCCACCACTGCGATGAGTCTGTGCAAAATTAATCACGTATATATAGAGGATGCCGCAAAAGTGACTTGTATAAGAGTAATTCAAAGGAGTGACATAAGATCATGTATTGACCGGAGTCTCGTGTACTGTGTTGTTTTTATTTTTTTCGACAGTCTGGATGCTACTCTCATGAGTTTACAGATTGTGACTCAGAGTGGTCCTTGGACTCAACTATTTGTCATATTCGGCTCTAGTTCGAATAGAGTTATGGTGATAAACTTGAACAAAATATTTAGAGTTTGTTACAATTCCAAATACATTTATTGAATGATTAAGCCAAGTTCATTGGTGCTCAAATTCATTTGTACCTCTACTTGGAAAAAAAGAAATGAACTGTAATTTGGTAACGTTTTTTAAATTATTGTTATCTTTAGTTTCAAATGTTTTTAATTGCATTTATTTTTATTTTTCCAAGTAAATGTTGCTTCTTTCTTCCCTACATAAGCGTAATTTTAATAGTAGACATGCATATTTTTAAAAGGAATATATATATATATATATATATATATATATATATATATATATATACATATTTCAACCAGTCTTTGGTTTAATAGTACTCTTTATCTTGTGAGGGTTCAAGTTCTCCTCCCTTCCCCTCAAAAAATAAAAATAAAAATATATATAACGTATATAAGTCACTCCCATAAAATAATAAAAATTACTTTTTTTGACAAAATTGTATTTTGTTTAAAAATAATTTAAAAGTGCACTGCAAAATTGTAAAATGATTTTTCTATATATATACATATATTCCATTTTTTCTTGTGGAAAAACAGAGCCGGTGTCAATATCATCATGTGGCATTCATTCTTGTTCTTTCTTTTTGCCTACATACATTGTGGGTGGCCAAATTTTGGAAACTGCAAGACATTAATGTGACTGAATTGCTTTGAAGTATAAATCCTGTGAATGACGCCCCCTTGGGTTGAAAATACTAAAGTGCATATAATGACATAGTGATAGTTTGGATATAGCAAATAATTTCATAAGTTCGAGTGTTGCAACAAATGCTCTAAGCGTGTGGTTTTGAGAATGACTTCACAGATTGCGACATTGGGTAACAATCATGATTTCGAGTTTAAATCTAAAAAGAACACATGAGGGGAACAATTCTAATCATGAAAAAATAGAGAAAAAAAAAAAGAAGGAATTATCAATTCACCAGCTGCTCACCTGTTGTTTCGGACCATAGACACTTCTTGAACTGCTCCAGTTCGAATATTAGTTACGACTCCCCTAAAATCAACAAAACAAATACAAATAAAACCATTAGATAAATGAACAGTATCTAAGTAAGAATACATTATTTAAATTTATATGTATACTACTTTAAAATACTAGAATATATGAAAAATAAAACAAAGTTGCTCTCATATTTGTCCTCTAAAAATACAAATATGTCATTCATATCCTTCATTTTAAATGACTAAGTTGATGAGCCGAGCCCAAAGACCCAACTCATGTTATAAGTTCGATATGAGTTAAAGACTCAACTCCAAGAGATCTACCAAGTCTAGCCTAATGTGATCATTCTAGTCAAGCTTATCAAGCTCAAGGAGTTACATCAGCAGGGAGCACACAAGGGTCATCCAAGAACCTCTTCTTCGCCACTTTGGAGTAAGGATCATTCCAGGAGCCTCTCCCACGCGGCCTGGAGAGAGTCAACATTCTCTCATCCTTTTGACCAAGTCCTTTGGAGAACACCATAACTTTCTTGTCGGTTGAGGTAAGGAGAGGAGAGGAGATGAGAGGTCGCTAAACTATTTAATTACTATTAAAGTCACCCCAATCCGTTATGACAATTAAACGGCGCCAACCCATTATGACCGTCAGGTTACCTATTCAATTATTACACTAAGCCACTATCAATTGTAAGCTCCATCAACACTTGGGGGACATCACAGTCATTCGAGCATAATTCTCTCCTCAACCTCTCAAAGCTTGTAACTCTTTGATCTCCCTACACATTAGAGTTAATAAAATATTCGACGATCCTGACCATTTAAAGTACAGATAGGTCACGTACACCGAACCACTATAAACCTTGTTTTCTTTCTTCTTTTACTTATTTACTGCATTTTGTACTACTTACTTGACAGGTGATATACAAACCAATTTGTGCATCATCAAAAGTTAATAACAGACTATTTTCTTTCCTACTTTTTCTCATTCTCTCTCTCTCCTGTGTCTTCAGAAATTGCCTAATACAGATTTAATTTGATGACAGCCTAGTGCTATATTCACTTGCTGCATAACTTCTTTCACTTGTTATTTGTGACTCAACAGATTCTAGAAATTAAAGATAGTAGGCTTCTAGCAACAATGATTGCATCGGTTACGGATGGAAATCTAAATAATAGCGATTCAGCGGTGATCTTCTTCATCAAGTATTACTATTTCTTCTGCTCCTTACTCGCTCAGATGCACGCATAGTCAGTCTCGCCATCGCCGAACCAGTGGACTTCCTACTTTAACAGGTTTTGCATTTTTTCTTTTCATATAATATTTATGTTTTTTCTTGACGGTTGAATAAATAAAAAAAAATCAGAATTCTTAAACCATAAATTCTTGATACCCGTTTCACATGCTATGTAATTCAATCATCAAAGTTGCTATTTTCTTGACTTCACAGTTTGTTCCAATCACTTTTGCAAACACACCTACAGATGATTGCTATTTTCATGATTTAACCGCCCATTCCATGTTTGCATCATCTTACCAACAGAAAAAGAGAACTTCCAGTTGAGGACTTGAACAAGTTGTCACTGCTCCCGTTTATGTCCTCCAATAGGAATTCAATACTTCATGTCGTCTCATTTCTTAAGCCTTGCTTCCTGCTTCAACGATGTCACTCCACCAATAGTAATGAAAGGCTTCATCGCGAAGACCAAGAGAAGTGGTATATTGCGAACTTTCACTTTTTAATGAATTTTTTTCATGAAACGTTTGGCCAGCTTGTCCGACCGACTGACTAGGTTTGAGAAAATTACAAATTAAAGTTTTAACAAGAAGGTGCAGATCTTTAGTGGTATATTTTGTACTTTTTAGTTTGTTCTTAAAAATATGCTATCTGTTTGTCGATATGTTTTGGAATTATGTGCTTATACTTTTTATTTTTTGCTGTTATTTTTTAATGATTTGATTTTACTGATTAATGGTGAATTTTCATTGAAACATGTTACTACAATCTTGCATTTGAAGAGGGGTGTTGTTTGATAATTGATTTCAACGATTGGAATTGATCTTACAGGTTTATTTAGATACCAAATATTAGCAAAACAAAAACTCAGTCAAGGCCAAATTGATCTAATTTATAGATCAAATTGACAAAATTCATATATTGCGGATGAAATTGACAAAAAATACATACTTTAGAGACTCAAAGTGTTATTAATCCTATATTTCATCCTATTAACCTATCTAGTTCCTAATTATTATTATCTTTTTTCTTATAATTAAAACAAAAACAGACAATATTTTTCAAATTTTATAGTATACAAGCGACAAAAATATAATTTTGATAGATTTGAGGTGATATTTAATGTAGGTACGTATATACCTAATATTAGTTCATACAAAAATAAAAGAAATCTATGACAAAACTTCATACATTCACTGACCTAAGTTGTGGGTGTAGGTGAATCTCTATAAACACATGATATTTGTTCACAGTTGGGAGTCTCGGAAACCCAAAAAGAAAAGAAATACCTTAAACTTTCAATCCAATGTTGAATTTTTCACAACTTCCAATTGAAGTAATTTTATGTAAAAACCATAACCTCCCAAACCAAAAAAAGTACCAACTAGAACATCATTAATATAAACAACAAATCAAAATTCAAAAAGAGGAGATGAAATTGGTACAACAAACTATGCATCAATGTTTTTATGTTTATCCATCTAAGATTTCTATTAAAAGTAGTCAATCTTGTAGACTAAGACTGTCTTTCTACATGTCTTCATTTTGTCAACAAATCACCGATTTGGTTTCGAATAAATTCTTTTTTTTTTTTTAACAAAAAAGAAGGATAGCACAAAATAAGGAATTATGAGATTCATGGCTTCTCATTTTAAGTACTTTCCTGACCAGAGTTCCAAGGAAGGAATGAAGAGGGGATTGTTCTTTCACTTTTTTTATTAGATAGGGACAAATCCACAAATGGATGAGAATTGAGCTTGACACACATATTACCTTTTTTCCATTCTTTTTGGCATATAATACAATTTAATTATCAATTAAACGTCATATATATTTGGAAGAGATAGAAAGGAGAAGAGGGAAAGAGGCAAACTTTTCTATCTCCTCCTGTATTTCCCCTCACACCTTCTCTGCTTGAGCCTTCGGGACAAATACTGAAAAGTCAAAATTGAAACATCTAAATAGTTCTCAACTTGCTCCATACTAACAAGAAAATGAATACCATGTGAAAAGAACCCAGATACTTCCTCTGCAAAATTCGTTAGCATGGACATAGAAAAGGAGGATTACTTTGGTAGACGTATTATGATGAGATTAAATATTAAATTGTATTATTTTTTATTTAATCGGACCTAATACTTTGTTTAGTAAGTAAATTTGACACCGTATTAATTTCAAAAATATCCTTATTGTATATTTTTTATACGTTAGACCTGTATTATGGAGGTATTTTAATATCACCAAAAGAGGTGATATTATAATCCAACTCAAACATATTATTTTGCACATTTACCATTATAACACTCTAACTGATAAAATCAAACTGTCATCAATGTAATAAACACTGATTGAATGTATTTTTGTTAATTCAACATTAATACGATAAAATAATTTTTTAATCAAACAATCGATTGAATTAAATAATTACTATCCAACGTTTATGTTTGTGTATTACCAAGTACTAGATAAAATTATGTATTGTATTAATATCATATTTAGTCTTGTCTTTTGTCATTCTGTATTGTATTAGACCGAATTATTTTATCTAATCCATCAATTTTTAATACGACAACTAAACGAGGACAAGTTTAGAAATCGGAAGGATAGGAACAAAATAATTGAAACAAGTCTATTACGAGGAATGCTACAAAATCTAAATGAAATCCAAAAAATAACAACCCAAATGTATATCATCCTTTAGATGAATGGGTCCCATCAATTTTTTAGTGAGACCCACTCATCCCACACTCATCCAAAAATGATATGCATTTGAGTTTTAACTTTTGAATTTTATTTGATTTTCCGTCCATTATATCACAATTCTCTTCCAAGTGGAGGCCTTTTAGATTCCATTATTAGAAGAATAATGCTATTTATATTTAATAATTTAACTTAATTTGCTGCCATAATAATGTGATTTCATAGGAATTATTAGATCAACATCAAATTCTAATATTTGATGAGGTTTATAGTCAATCTAAAGATTACAGTGAATAGGTCAGCAAATTAGGTACCAATAACATTACTCTTATTAGAAGTTACAACACTAACCCAATCGGTGCGCGCACACACAATTATCATTAAGGATGAATATGAAAAGTTTTATTTTATTGGTGTCATTACCTGTTTCTTTAAGTTTTATCTACTACAGTAGTATCTTTTAAAGAGTGCTTTGATTGCGCAATAAGAAATGACCCGGTGTGTTTAAAGTTTTGAGGGTTAGGGGTGAAGTTGTATTTAAAGGATTAATTAAGGTTAAAACACAACTCTCTTCCATGTGGAGACCATTCAGATTCCATTATTAGAAGCTGGAGTACAAACGAGCGCGTACTCTTTCTCTTTGCATTAGCCGTGAGCCTTATTAAATATTACTAAAATTTAATATTAATTTAATACAGTAATTATAATAAAATTATATCATTAAATTAATAAATTAATTTAAATTTTTAAATATTCACAACATTACTCAGACAAAAAACTTTTGGAAAAAGTTCAAGGACACCTCCTCTAATTTCTGAATCTTTAATGACACCCTTTCTAGTTTAATTTAAACATTACTAACACCCTTACTATTAAAATATTATTTCTAACAAAAAAATATTCATCTAAAATACCAAAAATGCCCTTACTTAACCTCAAGTAATTTTTTTACATAAACTTTTATTAAAATTCGAGCTGTTAAAATTTTAAAAAAAATCATAAATAACAATTTTAGTAAATAATTTGTTAGTAAATACTAATTCATAATTTTTTTTAAAAAAAATTGAGTCTATTAAATTTTTTTTTAACATATTAAAATTGGAGCTAATTTGAATTATACCTGAATTATTAGCGCCGATTAAAATTTTCTTTCGAGTCGATTAAAATTTATAATTTTTTTACTTATTAAAATTCGTGTCAATTAAAATTAGATTTATTAAAATTTAAGTCAATTAAAATTCATATATTTTTATATATTAAAATTTGGGGTGATTAAAATTCAATGTAAATTAATTAAATTTGATTTTGAGTCGATTAAAAATAATTTTTAATTGGCTCAAACAAAATTTTAATTAGCCCAAATTTTAATACGTAAAAAAATATAATTTTTAATTAACAAAAGTTTTAATATGTAAAAGAATAAATTTTAATTAACTTGAATCAAATTTTAATCGGTTTGAATTTTATTACGTAAAAAAAATTAGAAAACAAAACGGATCTCATTGAAAATAAATTTATCTAGAGGGGGTCTCATTGAAGATGTGTTTATCTAGAAGGGGTCTCATTGAATATATATTCATCTAGAGGAGGGGTATGGATGAAATTTATCCTCAAATATATCATGGACAATTTAATAAAATTACATTCTACTTAATATTTTTAATTTGACAGGGAAGATTTAGAAACTAAAAAGAGTGTCTTTAAATATATGACAAATTAGAAGAGGTGTAATTGAAATTTTTCCAAAACTTTTTTTGAAACAGAAAGAGAGAAGAAAGAGGGGGTATCTGCTTCACAGCTCACCATACGCACGTAGAAAAATCAAAATTAAATAAACACGTAAAACAAAAAAGAATCGAAACCTTATTTCAAATTATGCCCTTCTTTGTCTGCTCTGTTCTTGTGAAGAAATTCATTTGGTAAAATCCGAAAATAAACCAAAAACTCACAGCCTTTCGGAGCCAAAAGGTGCAAAACCAGGAAATTCAACGATCTTCGACAAACGGTGTGATTTGGGAGTGTTCGTCTGTTCAGTTTCTAACTCAGATCTGTTACTGTTTCAGCTTAAAACGGTTTTCTTTCTCTGCAATCATTTGATCGTACTTCATTTCATTCATTACCTGTTGATTCGGAATGGAAGGACTATTTTACGACGCCGTTTCTGATTCTGTAATCTGACGATGCCATTCACATATTGATTCGATTTTTCAGATCTGGTGATGTAATTGAAGAATCTAGCAAATAATCTTAGAGAGAAAGCTACAAAGTTGGTCAAATAGAGGGAGAGAGCTTCAAGAGAGGTGAAATTTAATATTGATTGGAATCGATTGTAGATGGATTTGGATGATTTTCGGGTGATTTTATCGACTTCAAATGTGGATGTGTGGACTTTGATCCAAACTGCCATCGCCGTAGCTTCATTGGACTACGGTGAAGAATTGAAAGATCGGAGAGACTCGATCGTGGAAAAACTCTACGCGAGCTCGAGTCAACGATGCAGCAGCTGCCACGATCATCGGAAGCCTAACGGAGATGGCGTGAATACTAAGAGTCCGGTCGAGAAAGAGAGCATTCCTGAAGGCAAAGCAAGAGGCTCGCCTTCTACTCCGGAGTCAAATAAGGGAACTGATGATGATGAACATTATGATGAAGAAGGTGAGCTAGATCCGTACGGAGGATTGTTCGAAGATGAGCTTACGAAAATTCTTAGAATTAAAGAACGTTTAGAAGATCCACTCCAGGTCTCATTTCAATAAATTTTGCTCTGAATATAATGTTTTTTTTTTTCTATAAATATTTTTTTGTTGTGTTTTCATCTGCTTGTTTTGATTTTGTGTTTTTCTTCTGTATATAGTCTGAAGAGTCTGTGGTTGGTATACTTCAAAATCTAGTTGATATGGAGATTACCTTCCAAGCTCTCAAGGTAAAATTATTATTTTGGATGAACTATGCTGGTGCGCTCTCTCTGTTATTCTTTCTCATGGGACTTGATAAACAGGAAACAGATATTGGAAGACATGTAAACCAATTCCGGAAGCATCCGTCGGATCAAGTGCGGAAATTGGTGAAGCAACTTGTCCGGTTAGTTGGAAATTTGAAAACTCAAGACTATTCCATTGTATAATTATACTGATTTTCAAAGAACGGGGTTATTTGTTTTTCTTTAATGGAGCAGAAACTGGAAAGAATTGGTGGACGAATGGGTTAGGGTGAACCAACCTGAACAAGATGCTTCTACTATCATTGGTATTGTCAAACAAATCCATTATTTCTATGTCTAGGCTGTGTAGTACTCTCTCCATATATTTACAATCACAACTATCCTGAGTAATTCCTGTGAAGAGAGGTTGTGTTTTTTCAACTAAAAAAAGGTGTTCATTAATGGTGATGGTTTTGGTGGCAGCTGATGGAGACTCACCACAGCAGAACATTCTACCAAAGAATACCAAAGATGGTCATCACCAGGTGAAATTAACAGTCTTATCTTACTGCTTGTGGAATTTTGTGTTGAAAATTCCAATTTTTGAGCTCTAGAATTGTGATATCAATTTACAGGTTCCTGATTTTGCTTATTCTCCAAATCCACACAGTAAGTACCGAATCACATCCCAAGATTCCAAGTTCCTCTAGGTCATTTCTGCTTTTCTTCGTATGCATTTGGCCATTTTTTTTTTTTTCGCAATTCATTGTAGCCTGGAGTTCTGGCTCAGACAAGACCAATTCAGAACCAGAACAGAGACCAAACGCCATCCCTAAAAGAGAGACTCCTACCAAGCGGCCTCAATCAATTCCAGTACCTGCTTCTGTTCCTCCTCCAAACGTAATGATTGTGTATATATATACATATATACATATGCAGTAGGATGGTTCACCTTCAAATACTCTGTTTGGCTGCTGAGAAAGCTGTAAAAAGAAACAAAATGGTGGGTCTTATGGGTTCTGCTGCTTGTGTTTTCCAGGGGAAAAAAATGGATCTTTTGGGATGGGTTATTTTGTGTGGAATCTTTCATTCCATCAACTATCGAGTTCACAGTGTTCTGCATACTAAGTTTGCCTTTCTTTTATTCTTGCTAATTTTCTCAGCAGCCGAATAGAGTATAGATTTTTAGTACTAATATGGCTGGTTACTTCATTGGAAAATAAAAAATTTGCAGAGAGCACAGAAGGAAACACTCATAGATGCTGAAAAGTTGAATTCAGCAAGAAGGCGGCTTCACGAGAACTACCAAGAAGCTCAAAATGGTTTGAATATATTCCCCAATTAGATATGGAATTTTAGAATCTGTGTTTGTATCTCATTGTGGGTTTTTGTGCTGATTAGCTTCTCTGTGTGGTTGTGTTTTGATTTGTGAAGCCAAAAAGCAAAGAACGATCCAGGTAATGGATATCCATGACATTCCAAAACCAAAGAATACCTTCTTTGCCAAGAATAAAGGCGGTTTTCCGGGGAGGAATCATCGGTGATGGGACGGACTTAATACGTGGTTCTGCTGGATTACTGGGATGCCACAAGGCGGTCTATCCCTGTAACAACAATTTTTCCTCTTCAAACAATACAATACTACTATGAATTATTATCCTGTAATATAAGCTCAATGAGAAACAGAGCTTGGGGTTCTCATTTCCCATTTCTCCCAAGTCATTGCAACTGTGAATATGACCTGTGAGTGATTACGAAGCTATTTTGAACGTGAACGTGGTGTGAGAGGCAATGTGTTCTTTTGACTCGGTTCCTCTTAAGTAAAAATTGTCAAATGATAGGGCTAGTTGGAGGGTTTATGCAAGTTTTATTGACAATACGATAGCATTCCTATGAATTTAATGCAGGAGTGAAGGGTCTATCTTCAAACGGTTATACTTTGATGGTTCTCAACTAGCAGTTTCAATTAAGTCGGTCGTATTGCATTTAGATTGTTTTTCTTTTAATCATAGTTTCATACCAAATGTTAGTTTTACTTAAATCAGTTTGTTTTCGCTTTGGTAGATTATCTTAGGGTTTTCGTGTAAATATGTGAATCGCTTATTAATACATAATGTGTAATTAATTAAAGAAAAAAATGATTTCATTAGGTGTGTATAGAATTGGAAAAAAAAAATTGCTAGTGAATCGAAAAATAATTTACTGTTATAGATATTTGGGTGATTCGTTTATAGCCATTGATCATAATGTACGCATATAATATTCTAATTGACTGAAAAATAGATGTATACTAACCAAAATAGCATTTTCTAAAAAATGCTAAAAAAATTTTAAAAAAAAATTATTTTATTATTTTTACCACTAATAACTAGAATTAAAATTAAAGTAAATAGTTAAAACTAATATTTCAATATGATATTTAAAATTCACTTTCATATGACCTCAATTTTAACAAATTTTCCCGTTAGCATTGCTTGCTGTCCTTGAATAAATGTTGATGGGCATATTAATAGGTCGGGTTGGATTTAGATTTTGATTTATCCTATTCGAATTCTATTTGAGAACTCAATAGAATTCGATTAAAATCTACCAATTTCATATAACATATATATTTAAATTTGTCAAAAATTTAGAAATTTAGTTCAATATGAAACAAATCCAGTAAAACTAAATTTTAGCAAATTACATGTAATGAACTCATCAAATAATCATTAAATTTAGAGAGAATTACACCTAGGTCTCCTGAAGTTTGTTATTTAATCACTCGAACCCCCTGACATTTGAAATATTATATACAAATCTCCTGAAGTTTGTACGCGTAACACTTAAACTCTTGCTGTAAATATATTAGTTAATAATTTATATTTAGACCCCCTACAGTTTATAAGTATGTAATACTTAGACCCATTAAGTTTAAAATATTATATATAGATCAAAAATACTCCAATCAAAGATAGAATATCAAATGATTTAAATTTTACAACTAAAATTTATGCTCTATTATATTATTTTATTGAAATAAAATTAAAAATAAAAAATTAATTTTTTTTAAAAAAATCGTAATTAATATACAATTATAATATGTATTAGAATAAAACTAAAAAAATCAAACAAGAAATCTAAGTCATTCATAATAAAATATGAATTTTACATTCAAAATTCATATTCTATTATGTCATTTATTGAAATAAAATCAAAAATAAAAATTTAATTTTTTTTTAAAAAAAAAATTCATAGTTAGTATATAATTATAGTATTTATTAGAATAAAACTAAAAAATTAAATAAATGGTTAAATTGTAATGGACATAATATCCTTTAGCTTTAATTGTGGTAGTCTGGTATTTTAATTTGGTCGTTTAAATTACCAAATTAAATTCCAATAGACAATATAATTGTATATTAATTACGAGTTTTTAAGAAAAAAATTGAATTTTTATTTTTAATTTTATTTTAATAAATGATACAATAAAACATAAATTTTAATTATAAAATTTAAAATATTTAATATTTTATCTTTGATTGAAATATTTTTTGTTTAAGTATAACATTTTAAACTTAATGAGTTTAAGTAATATATGTTTATAAATTTTAAGAAGTCTTGGTGTAATTTATTAACAGATATATTTACAGCATAAGTCTAAGTGTTACGCACGTACAAATTTCAGAAAGTCTATGTGTAATATTTTAAATGTCAGAGAATTTGAGTAATTACGTGATAAACCTAAAGGAGATTGAATATAATCCTCCCTTAAATTTAATTATTTTTATAATTCTGATCCAATTACAATGGGATGGAATATTGATAGATCCATACTTGAATATGTAAATACGACATTGTAAATACGGATTCCCACCCAAATACTTTGAGAAAAATACCAATTTATATTCAATTAGTCAAATTCAAATCAAACTTAAAATCAATATGTGATATATAAAATAACGAAATTGTTGGAAAGAGGATTGGGAAACCTTTCCTCTCCAATTGCCTAATTTCTTGAATATCTTTTTGTAAGATGCTTTACTCGCCTATGTTGCCTATATAATAACCATTGCTCATTTGCTAACAAATGGCACAACCAACATTGCTTTCTCATCTCTTTTAACATCTAATCTTCCTATCCTCTTTATCTTTATCTTTTTTGTTTTTTAGAATTTTACAATATGATCTCTTCAATTTGACAATTATGTTACACAAAGTGTTGAAATTTTCTTTTTCCATTCTTTCTTAACATCAAAAGAGGAGAGAAAACATACATTTTAGATAAAATTCAAACCCGTGACTGACACACAGAGAAGGGACGTATCCCCAACCACTAGACTATCTCCCTCAGTCTTGAAAGATTTGAGACAACAAAAAACAAATGCTACGATTCAATGCAATTAAATTTTATCAGTTTATTAGTTGGAAATTGCAAATACGAGATCAAAGAGGCCAAAATACAAACAAGATTCTAATGACAAAGAAGCTTATTTAAGGCACAAGTGCCTAAATAAACTAGAGAAAATGATGCAGCCAGATTCATGTTTCTAGGCAAACGGATAAATCAAGGCACCATCCATCAAGCTTCCACAAGGAAGATAATATAACCATGAAAAAAATGAAAAATCTTGCTACATAAGTAATACACTGAATGCATCCATGCAGAAGAATCCCTTAGCATGCAGCCGATCCACACTGTCCACACACAAAGATTTATATCCACATGTGCAAATTGTGTGTGCATGAGTCCCAACGTTCACACGCAAAATAGTTTACACCTACATGTGTGGATGTTAGCATGTGAGCGCAACTGCAAGTGCCAACGTAAGGACAAGGACATAGCATTACCATTATTATGATGAGAGATTCAGAGAATTATCCAAAAATACCTTACTATGATTGCAAACAACTAAAGAAAAATTGGAATGCTCACTTATTTATCAACCCATTTTCAACTGACGAAGTTCCATCTCAAAATATTAGGCACAATAGGCATATTGAAGCATGGCATGTGTCATATAACTCACATCCAAACTCAACCCTATCGTGAATCATCAACTACACCATCAAACATCACGTCCTCACACAATCTATTAGAACAAAGGGAGTTTGTGAAGCAAAGAGACAGAGTTGATGAGAGGCAAACCAACAACAGGCGCCAAGGAATGAAAGAGCATTTACCACTAGTACATTTAGATAGTTACGTATCAAGCAAAATTTGGTACAAAATTGGTACCCATACGGCACATAAATAGATTTCAGCAAGGATGTAACGCCATCTACAGTACTCTATGTTGCATTCGAACATGCTTTATGACATAATAGACTTTAACTAGTGATATGGTATGAATAAAAACCTGGTCATAGGCGAGAGCCTTGCATACTGGGGACAACCTTTTTTACCTCCAGTAAAATAATCATCCAACTATCTGCAGCAGAATAAATGCTTGAAATATGAGCAAGATGTATAAAGGATTATCACCTTTTTTCCCCTATCTAATCCTCTGCAAACTTGTAACTTTCTGAAATAATTTCTGTATAAAGAGCCAGGAACACTGTGCCACCATTCTATCCTTGAACACCTTTCAACCTAGATCCTTGCCTCGGCCGACTTCTCGCCTGACTTTTTCAAACTACCCAATATGCCATCAATTAACTCGTCCTTACTATCCTGCTGGGAGACAAATGAGTAGTTCTTGGAAGCTCTCTGCTTCCGTCCATAGTTTACCACAGGAGTTTCACTCTTGACGCCGCCAACTCCAGCTGAAGCAGATTGCTTAAAACCATTTCCCGAACAATCCACCATCCCATCAACAGTCCCTGATGCATCCCTTTTACTGCTATCCTCCTTGCTGCTGTACCACGAGTCAAGAATCTGTAGCAATGAGCTATCTTCCTCATCTATTCTAGTCTTCCCTGGGCCTTTTGATTTCGCTGAGGGTAGATTCTCTTCTTCTGAATCAGAAAAGTCATCACCTGATAGGGTTTCATAGTCATTATGTATCTGTCCCACCGGTTCTTCACCTTTCCTACTCAATCCTAACCCTATTTCATTTCTTATGGGACCATTATTGGCAATTGGCCCAAGTTCCTCCCATGGTGAGTCAAGATTGTCGTCCATCGTTGAAATAGACACAGTAGCATTGACGTTATTTTCTTTAACATTAGGATCAGCAGTTTCTAGACCATAACCCTTGGTGACTTTTCCAGATGGGATGATGTAAGTAGACTGTATTTTCACACCATTCATTATTTGTAGCAAGGATGCCAGTTTTTGATAACCAAGCTTTTGTAAATCAAGAGAATAGCCATACCTTTTGAGGAACAATCTCCCAAAGGAGCCTATTTTAAATCCTTCTGGGTACTCCTTTACAATGTCATCCACAAGCTTCTGACAGTCACTAAGTATCTCTCTTCTGGACTTGCCAGAAGTTCTTTTGTGAATAACAGATGGAGATATTCCAGTACGAGGATGATCTTGATGTCTGTTCTCTACACCATGCTCTGCTAGTTCTTGCATACTGGACGGCAATGGTGAGCCCAAAAAGAGAGATCTCAACCCATTTGAATTAGGATTACTAAATTTAGAACTTTTTCCAGCAGGCCAAATGAGTTTAAAAGGGGAAGCTTGGGACGAGCATTCTACAATCCATTTCTTATCGGAGATTAATACCTCCACTAGGTGAAGAAGATTGCTTTCACCAAGTGATTTGAGAACCAAAGGTCCTTGCTTTTGCAAATTTTGTGCCATCTGTACCCTGAAAAAAATCAAAATCAAGAATAGCTCCCATGTGATTCTGAGAAGAGTTTACACAAATTTAACCAAAATTATGCTTCAAATTTGCATCTTCTGTACACACTACACAAAAATTTATGCATTATACCACTGAAACAAAAAAATGATATCGATTTGTGAACATACCTCAATCCATGATATTTATCAAACAGTTTCAAATAGCAAAATTGAGTTTACCTGCACTTACTCGGTTCATGTGGGATATCTCAACAAAACAGCATTCGTAAACAGGTAGATTATTCATCACACTACATGGACAGGAAACTACTTTCCATTGAACCACAAAACAGTCACATAACATTGCCCAGTTTTCCCCCTTCGCATCTTGACATAACTAAATCGAAGCACTAAATTAATTTGGTTACTTGTTTGACATTATCACATCAGCATAATGGCACATCCCAAAATAGTGTATGTGCATTGTGTACCTCTCCACTCATTGCCAATTGATTTTGAGCTACTTTAACATAGTATCATAGTTGGACTTCAGGAGGCCGCTGGAAGACTTCATTTGGCTTTCATTGATTTGGCATTTCCGTTCCCCCAATGTCTATGCCTATGTCATAAATGCACCTTGCTATATCTCTGATCGTGTATTCCAATTCTTCAATCTACTTCTCCACACGCAAGTGGTGGGGTTGCACATGCGGTGAAGTGTAAAAACTTGTTCCTTATTGGTATAGTAGCGCATCCAAACTAGTATATGAGTATTGTGGACCTATTATCTAAGTGGGGATCAGTTTTGTGTTGGATGGTTTAACAGAAAGAACTGTAGGAATCATACCCTTTCAGCTAACTGAAAGAGTGCACCTATTGGTATGCTTATATCAATCTTGAATGTCTTATAACAAGTTACATCTTCCCCTTTTGCACAACTACTACTTCCCGAGGTCAACGTAGGGGCCTATAAAATATCCAGGTTGGTGCTTTTTGTTAACAACATAAACGGAAGGTTAGGATCAGTCTTATCTTTTGTTAGAGCGAATCATCTCCAAGGTTAGCCAGCAGTTGTCTAATTCCCGTTAAGAATAGCCGCTTGAGGTGGCAAGTGACTATGAAAATCTCTCCAATTTACGTGATCTGAGAGAACTTACATTTACTAAGCAGAACTTGTCTCATGGAGCCAATCACGGCAACGGCTTCCATTGGAAGTTTGAAACATATGAAAACAACATCTCTCTCTCTCTCTCTCAAAGGAAGGAGGTGGACCAAGAGAGAGAGAGAGCACAAACGAGAAAATCAAAACATTTCTTGCCAAGAGACAAATTTTTTTCAGTGTCCCTCTTCAACTGCCCAGGAAATGAGAAGTGGACTTGGTTTCCTCCTTCAATAACCAAGACTTCGTTTTTGTCCTAACTTTAACCTGCTTATATTTCCCTAAAAAGCCACAAATAAACTGTTATTTGTACAATCTCAAGGATAAAAGCCCAGCCCCAACTCATCACCAAGTTCATTTTGGTTAGAAAGAGAAATCACTAAAAAGCCATTGACACAGTCTTGAACCCCATATACTGGGATATTGGTAACATCATTAGCATTTATATCTTCAGCTTTCACTTTACGTCATTCAAATCATGTGATTTGGCATCTATGTACGAAAATAAAGATGTGAATGATTCACTGTTTCAACTGTTAGTCTGAGCATGTCCAAAATTGTGGTTATTTACCCAAGAATAACTTTTTTATTGTGAATTGACAATGTTAGTTCTCAGGTCATTCCTTCCACTCGAAAATATCACTCAGTCAACTTTATCATCACTGCACATACATATTCTAAATTTTGCTGCGGTAAAATGGTAATTTACATGTATTCTATGCCAAATTTGCCATGGTGGAATGATAAATGACAAAATGTGAAAATAAAAAAAAATCATCCTGTGGTTAAATGGTAATTTATGGTTTGAGATCCCTATTATAGAATAGGAAATTGTCTATATTATCCATGGACAAGGCACGGTAGATGAATTTTTTCAATATGAAACAGCACTTTTACTACAGCTCCAACCAGATGCACTATATGCTAGTCTACCATTATTTATTTCTTTACCATCAATACACAATGGAATTTGGGCCTATATCTGCTCAAAGCAGCACTAAGTCACCATGATGACTAGTTTCTATTACTCCTTGTTTAGAAGCATGACTGATGTCCCAGTCAAACATATCTTTCAATTCAGCAAGAGGAACTGAAAGATAGAATAAAATCAAAAAATGTGCACCTGGTCTTTGATTGCAAGAAAAGGTCTGATCCTTCAGGTGTATCCATAAATGCCTCCAAGTCATTCCAAAAAGATTCCTTTGAAAATACTTCAAGCTTCTGAGAATCACTTTCTGTTTGGTTCACATGTTCTCTGTAATGCTCATCTGAATGATTAGAGTCAGAAGTAGTTTTCCAAAATTTACAACTGCTCCAAATCTGGTTACGAAAAATGGGACTCCTAATAGATTTGTCACAACTAGTTTCCACATTAATTTTTTCATCCATAACTGAGGCATTACTGACAGAAGAAAATGAAGCAGCTCCTATTGACTCAGCGGACTGACTTGCAGAATTGACACATTTTTCTCCAGTTCTCATCTTTTCAGCAGAACAATTTTCTGGTTGACTACCACTTTTCTTATCAGAAACATCGTATCTACCACGAAAAAATATCCTCCAGATCCTTTTGACAAATCCCACTTTAGGTAGAGAATCATGTTCCTGCACAGGATGCGAATGATCCTCAGCTGCTTTGGCGTAATTTATAACCTCACCAAGTGGTGCGGTTTCTTGCACTGTTTTTGGTGGCTCTTGCACTTTTTCAGGCGGTTCTTGCACTCTTGCTTTGGGTTCTTGTACTTTTGTTGTTGGTACTTGCAATTTTTTTGGAGGATCTTCAACTGTCAGAGGCAATGATTTAGTCTTCCCCACACCTCCAGTGCAGGAAGTGTCTTCAGCATTTAACTTAGGAGTAACAATGATATCTGGCTCCCCATTATCAGTAACAGGCCCTGTAGGCATGCCAGGAGTGGACTCAACTTGGTCGGGGACTTCTGGGGCAACCCCACGTACAAAAAACTTGCCATCACCGCCTGAATGAAGCTTCAAAATATGGGGAATTGCTAGAAGAAAACGAGAGAACTTTTTATACCCATACAGGTCTTTATCTAAACTCACATTACTCTTCGCTAACTCGGCACGAAGGTCTGTAATAAAGATTCCTTTGGGATGTGAATCCAATATATGGCGAATGTGCTTCACAACTGCCTTTGGAATCTGACGAAGCTTAGGATCTGAACTGGAGTCAGACAACTCTTCAACCTGGAAACAAGATAGGTGCTCCGTAACCGCAAAAGGGTCTGCAAGAGGTGCCGAATAATGGCCATACCAAGAACCATAGGGACCATCTGGAGGTTGGTTAAAATGCTTTCCATTAAGGTTTTCTCCTCTGACCAAAGCATTCCATTGCCACATGATACTTGCAGCACTGCAAAGAACACCAGGAGCATTTTCTGGACCAGCAAGCAAAATATTGTAATTGTTCATTCTTAAGCGGTGCAAAATGCTAGCGAAATCTCTGTCACCAGAAATTAAGAAAAGATGTGCAGGAGGAGGATTTTGAGAAATCCAATACATAAGATCTGCAAGAAGAGACCTATCTGCACCATTCTTTCCACCTGAATTCATAAAAAATTATGTGAGATGAATGATTTAGGCGTGATAACAATAAACAAAGAGAAATTTCTAAATGATGGAAGCATAGTTAGACCAAATGACAAATACTCAAAGAACATGAACAGGTCACTGCCATTTTCAAATATTTTAGTATCCAGAAATGAAAAATGAAAATCCTAACAAGAAGAAACAATTCCACTTCGATATACAACGCAACCATTACAATCAAGATGCCATCAAACAAATTGGAATGCCTCTAAGGCATAATGCATTAGCTGAACAGCTTTTGTAATTACTCTTCGTGCTTGTAGGTTTTGTGCAGTGACAGAGTTAATAGCTGTTTCAAGAGGGTGCACAGTGCAATCACTTTCTCCATAGTATTTCGGTTGTCCTCTGAATTTCCTTACAAGCCATGTTAGTTTGCAACTTCTTCGCACAGACGTTAAATATAAAGACAGCAGGAAGAAAGTATGTCCAAACATGGTAGCCTCGGTTGAGTAAAAGCACACTATCCAGCCTTCCAACATGTTTAATAACAATTCTATTATTTCAGCAGTCTGCAAAAAGGTTCAGAATACTTATCAGGGACTTTCAGCAAAGCAGGAAGGGAATGAATTGAAAATATTACTTGGGTGAGTAAGAAGAGGAATTCGTGATAGAATTACTTTAAGGTTAAAAGGCCATGATAGATAGTCTTTGTGGAACAAATTCACCCAATGGTCAAAAAGGAAGCCAGGAAGAAGTAGTGAAATATGTTCAATCAAAGATGCTGATGGCATTACTGCACTTTTCGGAAACCTCATCTAAATAGGTATGAATGATGCTTCAATGGCTAATCATTATAGAATCTAACAAGTGACATGCTATGGAACATTATATTTCAGAATGTAGTTCTTGAGTCGGAGGTCGGAGAGGTGGAGTTGCTTAAATGGCCATCAACGGAAAGCTAGTCTTGGTGGAGAGGATGTTGCAAAGTGGGAAATTTTGAGGGGCAATCATTTAAGGAGAAGTATACTTCTCATCATCTCGTCAATCCAATTGTTTTTGGGCACCAGTCTTTCAATAGATGGCCACACTTTGGAAAAAAACTTCAGCAAGTGTCACTCCGACATAAAAAAGAATAAGGTGTTCCTAATTGGTTTTGTGCAAGGTGCGGAAGCAAAGCACAAACTTAGTCTCATACACCCACTCAGAATGATTAGTGGACAAGATTGGTCCTTTTCTGTTAAAGAAATCTTATAATCTTCATATTCTACTAGTTTAACTTGTGTGCACGTTGTGGGTTTCACAATTCATAATTTCTTTGTAAGCTCGGTCTGTTTGAAAAACATACTTGATGTTTGATAGTTAGCAAGCTCGCATACATTTGGATGTCTATCTTTACTAACCAGCGCATATATAGATACTGAAGCTTATTTACTGCCGCAGATCTTGTGTTTGGCATTGTAAATTCTGGAACATAACATAACAAACACCCCCTCCAGCAGTTTTAGAACTTAGTATTTAAGAAAAATCAAGAACACAAGGTGACGAAGTGATCAAAAATATGTGCAAAACATTAATCGTTAGCTTGTCTTAAAACTTCAAATAGATGGATCACGTCTAAGATATGTATATACACAAAGAGGATATAATGTAATGTGACCGTACTCCACTCTGCTTCAAGAACCCTCAAAATGAACAAATATTTAAAGTGTGTTTGAATACACAACGATACCATCAATGTAACAAATGAACTGTAGGTTCAAGCAAAATGGCGAAATAGAAATCCAGTTCCATTGATTAGATTTACTAGGGCCACAATGCATGCGTCATGCACAACGAAAGCCTCAAATTGTGAACATCCACTTCCTCAAAGCAGGAAAAGAAACTAAAAACTCTTAATTTAAGGGGAAAGAAGTGCGAGCATAATTTATTCATAAAAGGGAGAAAATGTAAAGCAAAAGGAACAGAAAACTGTTAAGAGTACAACCAGACCCCAAATAAAGGGGCACATCCAACCGAAGTGTTGCAAAAACCTTTCAGATCATGAAAATGTAAACTAGGTTAGTTCATATAAAATGAAATCCTTGGGGACTTTGGGGAAAGACTATATGCCTTATCACATACCGATTTTTGAGATCCATATGAATTCAACCATCACTACCTTAGGTAAAACTCTCTTTTCATGCAAAAAAAATGGCTCCACTAAAATGAAACATAAAATAACCTGACCTACGCAACTTATGGACACATATTGTCTATCTCCATCAATCTATTATACAAACCTGGAAAACCTTCCTGCTCAAACCTCCAACAAAGCAAAAATCAGATTTGATTTAACAAATCCTAGATGCCAATATGCCATTGAAATGCAGAACCAGATCCATGTGATCTCTGAGTATGTTACCACTATTAGATCAACTCGTGTTGACACTCAAGCAGATTATTTGGTGGGATCCAAAGAGATGCTACAAAAGATCTTATCTATCAAAGTCCCTCAACAATGCTTCTCCTAAAAGATTCTAAAGTACAGATGCTTTACCAACTGTACAAAGCTGTAGCATGGGCTAGCTGTTGAATTAAGCTACTATTTCTAGTTTATTCCATGAATACTAGATTCATAATGTTTTGCGTTATATGCTGTTATTGTTGAGTACATTGCTCAGTATGTTCTACATGCTAGCTTGAGTCTCTGGCTTTAGATAAGAGAACTCACGGACACTGCTTGACTCTAACAGTCTCTTGTTTTAGTCTCTAGCTCTTCTATTAATTGACAAGATTTCTGCCAAACAAGTTTCCATATTTCCTTTAGAGATCTTAGATGAACAAACAAGGTCATATGCTTCATTTTCACTGACAAATTCAATGTCTTGTACAACTTTTGATTCATCCCTAGTTGTCGACATCATTTATGATGCATTTTTTAAACCCTCTCACTTCTCTTCTCCAAGCTAATCCCACCACCTGTTAGGCTCCAACTACGAGTGAGGATGCTGCCACATAAAAGGGAGAAAATTCATTTGAAAGGTTCAGAGTCCAAAGAATGAAACAACAATCAGCCACCAGCCAATACAAAGCTTCCAATAAAGCACTATTGAAAGATTCCTCTGGCATTGGAACTGAAAGATGTATACCCAACCTATTGCAAACTAAGTGTTTTTAGAATTTCAACCCAGTAAAAGAATCCTAAGAGAGAGAATGATCAATACACCCACATTCCCTATGACTATCAAAATCTATTGCACTTTTAGTAACCCTAGATCCACAACTTGCAGTGAACATGCCTAGCAACATCAAAGGGGGCTTTGCCTAGAGGTGCTATTATGCTCGGGCAGTCGGGCGGGCTAACAAGTGCAAGATGGTAATTCGAATATGAGGACCACCACTTTGAGAAAATTACCAAAGCTTCAGCGTGAACCACCAATGCATCCCTCAGACTGCCTCCGATAACAGGGACTGAGTGAATAATGGCCTTTTGACACAAAATCACCCACAACCCATTTCAGAAGAGCGAGCTCAAAGAATTAGTGCGCCTCATATTTGTACATTAGTAACCCAACATTCCAGAATTTGCAGCCTTTTTTTTTATAACAATTCACATAAGCAATCCGCAACAACTCGGTTTCACACACTATTCACAACTAAACATCAAATTATGACCAGAGAGACTAATTTAACCCAAAGAACAGAACAAACCATGAGGAATGTGAATGAGATTGATCCCAGTCGACGATAGAGCCTCCTGGTTTGCCCTCGAAAGCTGCATTACATCCCCAAAAGCCGTAATTTGAATCGGACCCCTTATCCTACAACCCCTAATAGCGGCCGTAATGCTCTGAGCAACTCTGAAAGCATTTGCACCGGCCGGTAATGAGCAATTCTCGAAGTCCCACCACACCGAGACCCTCACATTCCGGCTCTCCTCGTCGTGGCGCCGAGACGGGTAGGAAGGATTAGGTGAAGAATGATATGGGTTTGAAGAAGAAGCTGAAAAGTGAGAGACTTGGAAAAGGGACTGTTTGCAGGGTTTGGCAAATGGGTTGATGTGTGAATAGAAAATGAAAAGGGTTTTTGGGTAGTGGGGTTTCATGGTGGAGATGATCAGAATTAGGGTTAGAGGTGGTCTCAGAGATGAAATTTAGGGTTTTAAGTTCGGAGTGAGAATGGAAAATGTACTCTGACATTTGATGAATCGCACAGTGGAGGAAAGTGGTATTGAAGGTCAGTGAGAGTTCAGTGTATAATGGCAGAAAGAGAGAAATGGAGCGCTAAAACCCTTCTCAAAACCCTAACGCACGTGCGTATCACATGGTTACCTGGCCTTAGTTTTGATTTATTTAGAAAATTTCCTGACCCAAAAAAAAAACTAATTAGAAAATTTTCCCCATATTGAAATCCAAATTTTGAGCGTGGGTCTTATTGCGGCATTAACGTTAAAGTTTGGCGTAGGGGTTTGATTTGTGAAAATAATAATTCTATCATGCATATTGTGTATTATAATATTCTATCAAAAATTTTAAATTAATATATTTCTATGCCTAAATGGAAGTTGAAGAAATATCAACACACACCCTTGAACTAAAAGAAATTTATTGTCCAAAAAATCAAACATAAGTGCTTTTTATACAACAAACTACAGCCGGCAACAAAGCATTTAATATCTTTTTTAAAGGACATATCTTTTGTTTAAAAATAAGAAAAAAAATAGTACAAGTCAACGACTAATCATTTTTAGGATTTTATGCCCAAGCGTAGAACTTGTTTGATTTTCTTTCCTTTTTTTTTTCATTTGAAACTACTTAAAAAATTTCTCCTCATTTTGTAATTATTATGGATTAATTATAAAATAGGTCCTTCAAATTTAGGTCATGTTATAATTAACTATCTCTAGTTTTAATTGAACAAATTACCCCTCAAAGTTTGAAAAATTTTCAATTAACTCATGTCGTTACTTTCAGCCATTTAAGTCACTGTTCATATTGGATCAATATTATGATCCGAAAAATACCACTAATGATAAAATGTCAAACAAACAAGGTATAAGGTGGGTCTTACGTACTATTTTCTTAATCTCACCCCCTTATACCACCTTTATCCTCCAACCAAACATACCCTAACCCCTTGTTTGATTGGAGGAAAAATAAGGAGGATAAAAAATGGAGGAAGGACAATGGGATGGAAGACTCCACTTTCCATTGTTTGTGATGGGTTAAGCCCAAATAGTCCAATTCATGTGTTAAAGTCCAACTCTAGTTGAGGAGCCCAACCTCATTTTGAATCTACCAAGCCCAAGATAGTCCAAGACCGGTTAGACTTTTTGCTTAGCACGTCATCAAGAGGAGAGCATGAAAAGCTTATCTGCACCACCGAAGGAAACGGTCCAAGCTTTGACCACATTTCATGAAGAGCTCCCCAACCTCCTCCTTTCGTTGAGGATAAGTCATGATCTCCACCAGAATGATCTCTTAGCTGCGATAAAGTAGCCTTGAGGATAAGTCATGATCTCCACAAGAATGATCTCTTAGATGCTATAAAGTAGCCCCAATCTGGAGGAGACGAAAAAAGAAGGTCACGCCTCACCAACACTTACAGAGGACAGACCGACGACCGGAGACCACTCCTTCTTTGATTCTCCATTCTCTCAAAGCTTGTATCTCTATTCTCCATACCCCTGAATTAATAAAATGCCCGGCAACTGAAGCCATTGAAGAGTGGGCGTAGGTCGAATTGACCGAACCACTATAAATCGTGTCTTCTTTAATTTTTTCATTGATTTCACTGCATTTATTACCTACACTTGACAGGTGGTGTGCAAAACCATTTTTGTGCATCATCAGTTTGGCGCCGTCTGTGGGAATTCGACAAAATTCTCACTCCTGAACATTACATCCATTAACTAATGGCGATCACTACTCGATCCATGAACCAACATGAAGACAATCCTCCATGAGAGGAGGAGGTTGCTCCCCCGCCTATCAACCCTGTTCCGGATACTCTAGCCCCGAATCCCCAGCAAATATTGGAGACCATGCAGCAACTGGTTACTCAAAACCAACAGTTACTGCAACTCATACTTGCTGGACAAGGAGGAGCACCACACGGAGGTGCACAGCATGGAGGACACCAAGGTGGAGCACCACACGGAGGTGCACAACATGGAGGGCCCCACGGAGGTGCACAACATAGAGCACCCCAAGGAGCTCCACGTCTTGGACATCAAGGAGCACCATGCCCTGTTGCTCCATGCCCGGGCGCCCCATTGGGCACCCCACTTCGGGAAGCCCAACATGAGGGAGCTCCACCTCCCCCTCCCCTTGCTTCCCAGGGAGAGGACCCTTATCTCCAGTAGGATGAGGGTGAAAACCAAAGCATGGAGCATGGAAGCCACTTCCATGATCATTCCAGAGGAGCCTCCAATCATTGGGACGAAAAGATAAAGGAGGTACAGAATCAACTCGGTGATGTCTTCAACGCCATGAAGGCACAGGGACCCGAGACTGTTGACCACCTGGTAAGGCGTACTGATACGCCTTTCAAACCTGATGTAGCAAACTACCCCCTTCCTCAGAAGTTCAAAATGCCATCTATGGAGACCTTTGATGGAACAAAGGATCCACTGGACCACCTCGACACTTACAAGACCTTAATGCAATTGCACAACGTACCAGACGAAATCATGTGCAGGGCATTCCCAACCACGTTAAAGGGGTCTGCCCGACAGTGGTTTGCTAAGCTCTCCCCCGCCTCTATTTCCTCTTTCGTCGAGCTTAGCAGATCATTCGTCTCACACTTCATTGGAGGGCGTCGCCACCAGAAGCCAGTTACGCACCTGCTTAGTATAAAGCAGGATCGCGAGGAGAACCTGAGGAGTTACCTCACTCGTTTTAACGAGGAGGTACTCCAAGTTGATGAACCCGACGACAAGGTGACGATGACCACCTTCTTGGGTGGCCTCCGTTCATCAAGCTTCCTTTTCTCATTTCTGAAGCGTTCACCGAAGAGCATGCCAGAGCTGCTAGCCAAGGTCCAAAAGTACATAAACGCAGAAGACATCACAAGGGCCAAGCGGGGTGAGTCTTCCAGAGCAGGGGATAAAAGGAAGGAAAGGGAGAGGGACGATAAGAAGGGGACCAGCAACAAACATGGCAGGACAGAGAAAGTCCCTGTCAAGGACCGGCTAGGTCCTGCTCCTCAGAGGAACCGTCAACCCTTCACTCCCCTCAATGCTTCCGTGGAACACATCCTATTCCAGATCCAGGATGACCCCGCGATAAAGTGGCCTGAAAAAATGAAGTCTCCTCCAAATCGCAGAAATCCTAACAAGTATTGCCGCTTCCATCGTGACCACGGGCATGACACCGACGATTGCTACGACCTCAAGAGGCAAATTGAGGGGCTCATCCAGCGTGGTCACTTACGCCAGTACGTTGCTGGAAGGGAACGAGCACCACAACCTCACAACCAGGAAGATCAGCAGCCAGTGGGAGAAATCACACCATCTCAGGGGGACTAGCAGGTGGGGGAGAATCACTTTTCGCGATGAAGGCCCATGCCAGGAAGGCAAGACATGTCTACGAGATGCGCCCATCTAAGGTGCCGAAGCAGGAAGGCGACGTGGTCATATCTTTTTCAGACAAGGACCTGGAGGAAATCCAACACCCCCATGACGACCCCTTGGTGCTCACCATGACGGTGGCCAATTTTCATGTGCACAGGATCCTGGTGGATAGTGGCAGCTCTGCGGATATCCTGTTTGCAGAGGCCTATGACAAGCTCAACCTGGCAGGGAGAGGCTACAGCCAATCAGGTCACCCCTCATTGGATTCTCAGGGGAAAAAGTGTATCCCCTTGGATCCATCACACTTCCCGTCACCGCCGGAGTAACACCCCGAAGCTCCACAGTCATGGTCAACTTCCTGGTAATAGAGTGCCCGTCAGCCTACAACATCATATTAGGGCGGCCAGCTTTTAACACATTGAGAGCTGTGCCCTCTACCTACCATCTCATTCTCTGCTTTTCAACCTCAAATGGTGTCGGAGAGGTCAAAGGGGACCAAATAACAGCCAGAGAGTGCTATGTATCCTCTATAAAGGCTAGGAAGCCCCAAGAAGCATTACAGGTTGAGGTCCTTGACCCAAGGGATGACTCCGCAACAGAAAGAGGAGAACCAGTCGAGGAACTCATCCCTGTGGTTTTAGAAAAGGAGCACCCAGACAGAAGAATTTACATTGGCTCTTCCCTTTCTGAAGAGCTGGCTCCCCTGTTGATTGATTTTTTGAAGCGTAATATGGACATCTTTGCTTGGTCGCATGAGGACCTTGAGGGCATCGACCCGGAAGTAGCTACCCACCACCTCAATGTCGATCCACTGTACAAGCCTGTTCGCCAAAAGTTAAGGGGAACCTCCATTGAAAGGGCCCAAGCATGGACAAGGAGGTTAGAAAGCTGATTGATAACGGGGCAGTCAGGGAAGTGGCGTATCCGGAGTGGCTCTCCAACGTAGTAATGGTTACTAAGGCTAATGGGAAGTGGCGCCTCTGTGTCGACTTCACAGAACTAAACAAGGCATGCCCAAAAGATAGTTATCCACTGCCGCGGATTGACCTCCTCATCGACGCCACGGCTGGACATGAGTTGCTCACTTTCCTGGATGCATACTCGGGATACAACCAGATTAGCATGCATCCCCTAGACCAAGAGAAGACATCATTCATCACGCCAAAGGGGACATACTGCTACCGGGTCATGCCCTTTGGGCTAAAGAACGCTGGGGCAACCTACCAACGACTGGTGAACAAGATGTTCCAATCTCAGATTGGGCAAACAATGTGGTGTACGTGGATGACATGCTGGTAAAGAGCCTTGCAGTAGTAGACCACATCGATCACCTCCAAAAAAACTTTCAACGTCCTGAGGTCCTATCACATGAAGCTCAACCCTGAGAAGTGCGCCTTTGGTGTGGGGTCTGGTAAATTCCTGGGCTTTATGGTCAATCAGAGGGGAATTGAGGCGAACCCTGACAAGATCAAGGCCATTCTTGACATGAAGTCACCCTCCTCACCAAGGAGCTCCAGCACCTCAATGGAAGA